CCCACGCGCGATCCCTTTCCCGAGGCCTCGGCTCTGGCACACGCCGGCTCCGCTCCCCCCAGCACGAATCCATCGCTGTTCTACCCCGTGGCGCGTCTGTCGCGGGAGGGCACCTTGGCCCCGCGTCCCGCGGGAGCCCCCCGGCCGTGCGGCGCCCACCCCGCTCTGCGGGCACAGAGACCTGGTTCTCGGTAGAAATTTCTTGCGGTTCTTCTGCCAGGCGTTGCTGAGCTGCAGCCGGAGAGCGCACGCCGCTGAAGCATCTCGCTGGGTTCGCAGTGACCCCGCTGCTCTCCTGCGCTCTATTTTCAGTGCGCCTGAAGAGGCAAAGGCTATTTTGGGAGCAGAGGGGAGACTCGAAGATGGTCTAAAATACTTTCTTTAATTTTGCATGATTTGAAAACGAACTACGTTATGGACATTGCGAGTTAAACCGAAATGATTATTGAAAGAGACAAGCAGGCATGGGACTTTTTGTTTTCCCTTCTCCAAGTATTAAATATTTAATTGCATTAGAGCAGCAGTATATTTACAGTAAGCTGGGTGGGCGACGGGCGGCGTGGTCGAAGGGAGAGCTGTCGGCATTTAACGTGAAGCTTCTTGACGCGATGTGGATGTTTGTGAGGTCCCACCTCTGCTGCTGCTTCTCCCGTGAGCCCGCTTGGTTCCTCTCCCTCGCGGGGGGATTTTTGGGGCCATTGGTGCTTGCAGGGTCGAGCAGCAGTATATTTACAGTAAGCTGGGTGGGCGACGGGCGGCGTGGTCGAAGGGAGAGCTGTCGGCATTTAACGTGAAGCTTCTTGACGCGATGTGGATGTTTGTGAGGTCCCACCTCTGCTGCTGCTTCTCCCGTGAGCCCGCTTGGTTCCTCTCCCTCGCGGGGGGATTTTTGGGGCCATTGGTGCTTGCAGGGTCGTGGTGCGGGGTGAGGAGTCGGGGTCTCGCGGCAGCAGGTTGCTCCTGGGCAGATAAAGGTGTCAGTGCACCCTGTCGAGCAGCACACGGGTGTTTTATTTGACACAAGGAGTTGTTTCGCCTTCGTTTGGCAGATTTGGAGGGTTTTTCCCTGGATTTGCTGTGAGGAGGACGCAGGGTGCCCATTGCAGACAGGGCCTTTCTCTGCCCAGTTAGGGCTGGAAAAGACACAAAGGGAATTTTCTGCAACTTGTCACGGTGGAAACCAGCAGAAACCAGGCACTGGGAAACTGCTCAGAGGAGGGACACCAGAATTAGCTGGCGTGAAGATGAGTTGAAACATCTGCAGCTCCCTGGTCCCTTGGCGAGAGGGGACAGCAGCTCCCGAGCCGAGGACAGCGAGTGAGCGGGCGCTGAGCCCCCACCCTTGTCTCGGCGGGGGGTGGGGGTGGG